CCCAGGGGGGGGCCTCTGCTCAGCCACTAGCCAGGCTGATGGCTGCCCGTACAACGGTGGTGTTGGGAGCCTCTCCCGCCTCCTCAGCAGCACTAAGGATGTCCAACTGCAGTTTAGGCCTGCTCCCCACTGACAAGTGGACATCCCCCAAGGGCTCCCGGGCTGCCAGAGGAATGTCTGACTGCCAGCTTAGGCCCAATCCCCTGGGGAGCAGGCCTAAACCAGCAGGTGGACATCCTCGAGGGGTCCCAGACTGCGAGAGGGCACAGACTGGGCTGAGGGACCTCCAAAGTGCACAAATTTTTGTGCACCGGGCCTCTAGTATGATAATAAAAGTTATGGTTTTTGAGTGTTACATGAGCCAGATCCTATTCTAAGAGCTTTATATTTCACCCTTATAATAATCCTATGAGGTAGGTACTATTATTTTCTCCTGATGAATAAGAAATGTATGACAAGTTAACTGAGTATGAAAAAATGTGTATTTATGTATTTTTATATAACAATATAACTGATAAGTTTTAGAGGCCTTCTTCCTAAGTGCAGACTTTATTTTAAGTGTTTGCAATACATCATTTATTTACTTTCCCCTCAATCCTCTTGTCTTCCCTCTGTCAACATTTTTAAATTAAGAAAAAACACCTGAGATTAAAATCCAGGCTCATGTACTTATCCTTCTAATCTTTACATTCTGCTTTCATCTGAACTCCTATATATTTTCTGTTATAGAAATATAAATTGAGTCTCTTTTTCTCATTACCATAAGAATTTAAAAATCTCTTTACAAATTAAAATGACTTTACAAAATTAATTCCATAGGCAAAAAATATATAGCAAGTACGTTCTAGGAGAAAAAAAAATAATTGAAAAGTTCTTAATGTACTTATTTCCAAATCTAGATCAAAGTGTGGACTTTCCTGGAAAGTTCTCATTTGGGAAACCCTATAAACAAATCTTCCTTTCCTCTCCAGCAATCACTGGATATTACTTGTTGTGTCTGTGTAGTCAATTATAGGAAGTGCTAATATGGGTTTCCTTATATAGCAGAGCTTCAAAAAGGGCGAAGTTAGAAAACTTATTTTCCCCACTGACCTAAACAAATGTATTATTAACAATATCCTAATTGGAAAAAAAAATTAGAACAGAAACACAATTAGTTGTAATTTTGCTGATAAGCATAATCTTCCTGCATTCTCTGGTAGTTTGGGTGCTGAGAATACTGTGCTGAGAAAGATGCTGAAACATGTTTGTGACTCAAGGGGAGGAAGTGTTATGATGAATTAAGGATATTTCCCAAAGATATAGCTGGAGGAACTAGCTTTCATTGTTATTCAATCTTATATAGGTTCAAACCTTAGTCCACCTCATTTCCCCCACATCACTCCAAGTTAAGTTAAATTTATATAGATTTCTGCATGCTTTCAGCCACTTATTTTTTAGCTTTTACAGCACAAATTCTAAATAGATAGCAACTCGAAAAGACTTGAGACTCTTACACTGCTAAACCAATAGCTAGTATGATTTCTCCCTGCTTATATAAGGCCACAGGCTATAGCTATCAAAAATTCATATGCAGTCCTAAAGGTGCTTGAAATCTTTATCCCATGAAGCCTTCTCCAGATCTTAGGTAAGTCATGCCAGGACATAGGGAGGTCAAATAAGTCCTCAACTTTTAAAATGGAACTCAACAGAAAAACAATAACAATCAACCAACCAACCAACAAAAATCTCCTCTATCTTTATCTGTCTCCCTTTTTAGATGAAAGATGAGTCAGCCTTATTTTTCTATCAGATTGGCATACCAGATATTGAGACTGACCTTCCTGTTGAAAACAAATCAAATTCTGGATATAATCTAAAAAGAAATTTATAACATGCATTTATGCTCTGGCAAGAAAATAGGATTACTCATAATCCAAAAACTAAGTGAAAACAGGAACCTAGAGAAGAAGTAGAGCCCTAAGATTGTCTTTGTCCTGTGCCACTATCTCAGACACAGGGCCTTTAAAGAGGTAATTAAGTTAAAATTAACCAATTCAAATAGGCCCTAATTCAATCAGACTTCATAAGAAGAGAAAATTTGAAAACACAAAGATATATTAGGGGTTTGTGTGCATAGGGGAAAGATGATGTGAGTACACAATGAGAAGGAGCTATCTGCTAGCCAAGGAGGGAAGCCTCAAAAGAAATGAAATCTGCTGACACGTGGTTATACTAGTATCTTGGACTTCTAGCCTTGAAAACTATGAGAAAATCAATTTCTGTTATTTATACCACCCAGTCTGTGATAATTTGTTATGGCAACTCTAGCAAACTAATACAGATAGTAATAAATTAAAACAGTTAAGCAATTATAATAAATGTAAATGGCCAAATGTTTAACTTAAAAGGCAAAGGTTATAACAGTGGACACAAAAATAGGATATAAAATATAAGGTTGAAAGTTAAATGATCAAAGAATATACATAATATATTTATATCTAAAAAAGAACTGTATCAGTGTTTTAAATTAGATAAAATTGACTTTAAGGCAAAAAACATTACTAGAGATGAGTCACCAGATAATAATAAAAGAGTCAACTCACAGAAAAGTATAACAATTTCAAACTTGCACGAACCAAATATAACCTCAAAATATTTAGAGTAAAAATTGATAGGATATAAATATAAAGAGAGAAGTCATCATCACTGTGGTAAATTTATCTTTCTCATTAAGCTTTATATCAAACAGAACAAAATACATAAATGCTATAGAATTAATATAGATAGTAAAGAATTACAAACACAAAGTTGAATGCTCTGTTTTTACCTTATTTGAGTACCTAAACATCTTTACTTTTACAAAATATTATTTTTATTGATTTCAGAGAGGAAGAAGAGGGAAAGAGGGAGAGGGAGCAAGAGATAGAAACATCAATGATGAGAGAAAATCATTGATCAACTGCCTCCTGCATACACCCTACTGGGGATTGATCTCACAACCTGGGCATATACTCTGGCTGAGAATAAAACGATGACCTCCTGGTTCATAGGTTGATGCGCAACCACTGAGCTACCCTGGTGGTGCTTGTTTATTTTTTATGATATGAACTAGAGTCCTGGTGCATGAAATCCATGCACTGGGGTGGGGGGTTCCCTCAGCCCAGCCTGCACCCTCTCCAATCTGGGGCCCCTCACGGATTGAGCCTAAACTGTCAGTTGAACATCCCTCTCATAATCTGGGACTATTGGCTCCCCACCGCTTGCCTGCCTGCCTGCCTACTCACCCCTAACCACTCCTGCCAGCCCGGTTGGCCCCAACTGCCCTCCCCTGCAGGCCTGGGTGCCCCCAACTTCCCTCCCCTGCTGGCCATTTTGTGTCCACTTTGGGGTGGCAATCTTGTACCCACATGGGGGTGGCCATCTTGTGTGAGGGCATGATGATCAATTTGCATATTACTTCTTTATTATATTGAATTATCCAAGAATTAGAATGATGTTAACTAGCACTTTTGATTCATTAATTTAATGTATTTATTTATAAAATGTATATTTTCTTCCAAAGTGAATACTAGTTACTATTACTAATGCTACTTGCTATCATTTATTAAGAAACCACTATCTTCTGAGCAAAACATTGGAACTTTTACATTCATTATCTTATTTAATTATTCCCAAAATTGTATTGTGATTAGATAGCATTATTATCCTCATTTTATAAATGTAGGAACTCCAAGCTTTGAGAGTGTGAGGAACCTCCCAAGGACATGCAGCTAAAGAGTGGAGTACCCACTTTCACATCCAGTAAATATTACCTATTGCTTTAATTTTTTTTTTTACCATTACTGAAACTATTGTATTTGTACTATTGTATTGTAGAGCTCTATCAGTTCCTTAAAATAACAGGATCTTTAAAATATATAAAACAGCTTGCCCAGCCAGCATGGCTCAGTGGTTAAGCATCAACCTAGAACTAGGAGGTCATGGTTTGATTCCTGGTCAGGTCACATGCCTGGGATGGGGGCTCAATCCCCAGTGGGGGGCATGCAGGAGGCAGTTGATCAATGATTCTCTCTCATCATTGATCTTTCTTCTCTTGCTCCCTCTCCATTCCTCTCTCTGAAATCAATCTATATATATAAAAGCCTAAGCAACCATTACAACCAGTCCACCAAACAACCAGTCAACCAATCTCTATGACATGCACTGACCACCAGGGGGCAGATGCTCAATGCAGGAGCTGGCCCTTTGTGGTCAGTGCACTCCCACAGCCAACCTCCTGCAGCTGGCTAACTTCCCCTCAGTCCCTCCCCCCAGCCGGCTGGCCCTGATAGGCCACAATTGGGACTGGGCGAGATGGCCCAGATCAACCACAATCTCCGGCCAGGCTAAGGGACCCCACCCATGCATGAATTCATGCACCAGGCCTCTAGTAAAAATATATTTAAAAGTATATTGAGGTATAGTTTATATAAGATAACATTTATGCAGTTTTAAGTGTGATTTTTAGTAGATTTACAGAGTTCTGCAACACAATCTAGTTTTAGATTATTTTCATCACCCCAGAGAAATCCCTTGTGCCCATTTCAGTCACCCCTGTTCCTTACCCTAAGCCCCAAGCAACCACTAATCTTTTTGTCTCTATAGATTTGCCTTCCCTGGATTTTTCATATAAATGGAATCATACAATATATGATCTTTTACATTCTAATAACAT